AGAACACTTAGCATCGCTTAAGAATTGGGTCCACTGAGTTCAAATATTAGGTCGTCTCCAGCTGGAGTGGATAGATGGCTGGTCAGTGGCAGCAAATAAACCCTTAGTGGACGCCTTTGCATTTGACGCAATACTTTCTGATATGTAAATTGTCTGTTAGACATTTTGTCGTTAGTACACCTCGTTCTCTGATTTATATTTCCTCAGAAACTGATAGCTTACTTGGAGTGAAGCAGTCTATGTGTGACGTATAGGCTCCGATTGAACTTGGATACAATCATTTGAGGGAAGTTCATCAGCCACAACGGAGTATCCGCGTAATATTAATCAAATGTGAACAAGCGGCCAGTAGTACCTACATGAGTGGTACAGTGTAACATACTTGGCAGCCCCCGATCCGTGGGATCCGAGCCGGTTACAGCGGCACGCCTAGGGCTGTCTTCGATCGCGCCAGCCACCTGCGCCCTCTCCCACTTATGGCCCCTTTTGACCCTCTCTTAACACCGGACTCAGGTGGGGGAGAAGAGGTTGCAGTAGATCCTGCGCAAGCCCACTTTCGATATAAAGTGATTTATGAGCAACTCACCGTCCCTGCTCCTACTCTACTATCGAGCACACGGTGGACATCGTCGAAATCGACGGTCGAACTCTCCTTTAATAGCACAGGTACTAGCCAAAAGCTTATAAACGTGTTTCGCCGATACTCTGCTGCTGCATGGCACAGCTGCAAGGAGTTCAGTTCATCAGTATTCCCAGTTTACCTTCTGGTAGATACACCAGTTTTTAAATGTTGGCCTTATAATTTCCTCAGAAATTAATCGCTAACTTGGAGTAAAGCAGTCTCTTTGTCACTTAAAGACTCAACCTAAAATTTGGTACGAATATTTGGGCTGAAGTCCCAAGCAGAATAAATGGATTCTAAAGCTTTAAGCCGGACTACGACTCTAGTGGCTGTGGATGAGTAGGAGGAATGTTTAAGGAGCCACGACAATCCACCTCCCCGACAGCCGTGCAGGCCTTTCCGCTCAATGGTGATGATAGGAACTGTTGTTCCCGTACCGGTAACATGAGCATACTCATATATATATGTCATGGAGACCAGGTCGCGTGTGGAGCTGTTTAGTTCTATCAGCCTTTACGCCCGAGCCCATTTCAAATCGTCTTCATAGGATCCTGTCATCGGAGCCGGGTCAATGAGGGGAGAGGTAGTGAGGTAGATTTTGCGCAAGCCCGCCTCACGATAAACCAATTCATGTACGTCACTTCCCAAGTCCACTCCGTGCGTCGCATGCTTGACACTGTCGTGCTCGATGAAAGAACTTCCGTCGTGTTTGTATGTGTGGCCCAATAACGAGTTGCGCTGTAGGTGAGCTAGACCGAAAACCAGGATCAGATTGTATAGTAGCATGGGTAAATCGGACTGCACAGAGTCTACTCGTGCCCGTAACTTCTGACGTACAGTGGGTGGACTAACTCATGAAGTGTCAACTGAAATTCCAAAATGCGCTTTCGTTTTGAAAAGATTAGCTAATTGAGGTTGTAAAACTAGTCATCATCCAGCATAATTCTATAATAATTCAGTTATCTCAGGATACCGGCTTTCGAATAAACTTCCTTATGGCTGCATACAAAAACTATGCTCTGTAAAATGTGACTGCTTACGTAGTATTCAGTTTTCCCGTTGGTTTTCGATGCCCTTAACAATTCAATTATATTTCATGGAAAAAATGCATAAAGTACTTCTTCTTTTGCTCCTTCGATCGAAAGTTACGTCTTCTTCTAAGTGTACACTCGAAGGAAGGGTATAATTCGGTTTTCAAAAAGTTTCTAATTGTGAGACTTTTTGATACCGTGAAATGTCCATTCATAAAACGTCATGTCTCTGCATTTATCAATGTGATTAGTAAAGTTCAGATTATGACTCGAATCCACTGCTACGTTTTATGAACCCCGTGTGGTTTCCTCTTAATACCGTAGCGAAATGTGTGGTTTCCCGTACGCGGAAACTATACGGCTTGTACTTTGCAAACCCTGAATGTAGGTGTAACTTCAGGTCAAGGTTCAAAATTATTCAGAAATTGGAAAAGGTTTCAAAAACTGAATCATACCCTTCCATCGAATAAAAAATTGGAAGAAGACGAAACGTCCTACCAAATGAGCAAAATAGGGAATATTTTATGCATTTTTTCCATGAAATATACTTGAATTTTTAAGGGTATCGAAAATCAATGTGAAAAATGCATACTACTTAAGCAGTCACTTTTTACAGAGTACAGTTTTCGCATGCAACCGTAAGGAAGTTCATTCGAAAGCCGGCATCCCGAGATAACTGAATTATTATAGAATTATGCTGTATGATGATTAGTTTTACAACCCCACTTAGTTACTCTTTTCGAAACGAAAGCGCATTTCGGAATTTCGGTTGACATTTCGTGAGATAGCCCACCTACTGTAAATGGGGGGCGTGGTGGCACACCTTACACGTCAGTTTTCAATTCCCGTTGGCCACTGCGCTCAATCTCAGTACCAGCTGGTTGACAGGCTCATACAGTTCATTGGTGCATGCGAGAGAAAAAACACACTGAAGACGACACTGTACAATCCACCCTCCTGACACGTGAGCGCACTTCTCACTATGACAAATCTGAATTAATCCCCACGCGCTAACATTTGTGGCCGGACAAGTTGTCAGCTGACGTAATTATTCCTTCCTCTCCAGGACTGAGAGTCAATCTGCAATGGCTCACTCTTACTGTGACCTCTACGCACAATCGCACTTGTGAGTTTCAGGTCGAACTTACAGAAGACCGGTAAATGGTTGGGGTACCATGTCACCTGCGGCATTTCTAGACTGGCCGTCTAACTTTGTCTGATACTGCCCTGCAGTCCAACTCCAGTAATCTGGAAACTGTCTTGTCACCGGTTTCGTGTGTGTGAGGGCGGTAGGAACTGGGCAAGTCACCATCTTTTGTCTACCCCGTGGCATACACGGTGGCCGTCGGCATTCATGGCGCTCGAAATATCGCGTTGGTAAGCTAGAGACTCTTCCCTCCCCCCTCTCCTTAACGGAACTAATTCTTGACATCATCGCCGTCCCAGAACTACAGTCGACAAAGTAAACTGGCCTAAACTTGATGTTCTCAAGTTACGAAACTGCCGTCAGCCAGCATCTACCGATTTCAATGTAAGGGCGGAAGAGGCTGCTGCTTCGTATAAAGCAGCCAGCAGCTACAGACGCAGCTACGCATGACGCCAACCAGCGGCGGAGACGATGGACCCCCGGTGACAGGTTGAGATCCGTACCGCCTACGCGGGACGCAACCCTAGCCTTTTCGCCATCAAGGCGCTGAACGAATCCGGCAAACGCGTACGGTAGGTGGGCTAACTCATGAAATGTCAACCGAAATCCCAAAGTGCGTTTTCGTTTCGAAAAGATTAATTAAGTAGGGTTGTAAAACTAGTCAGCCTGTAACATAATTCTATAATATTTCAGTAACCACATGATGCCGGCTTTTGAATGAATATCTTTCCAGCCGCATACACAAACTACAATCTGTAAAAAATGACTACTTAAGTAGCATGTATTTTTCTCATTGATTTTCGATGCCCCTAAAAGCTCAATTATATTTCATGGAAAACATGCATAAAAATATTCATTCTTTTGCTCATTCGGCAGCACATTACGTTTTCTTCCAAGCTTATACTCGAAGGAAGTGCATAATGCGGTTTTCAAAAACTTTTTCAATTCCCGCATAATTTCAAACCCGCTCTACCTTTACATCTAGATTCAAGGTTTCCAAACTACAAGCCTTATATTTTCCGCGTAGGGAAAACCACATATTTCTCTACGGTACTAAAGGGAAACCATATAGGTTTCATGAAATTTAACGGTGGATTTGATCCATATTGTTAACGTTACTAGCCAGCTTGATAAATCCAGAGACCTGACGATTTATGAACGGCCATTTCACGGTATTAAAAATACTCACAAATAGAAACTTTTTGAAAACGGTATTATACCTTTCCATCGAATATAAAATTGAAAGGATAATCAATATTCTACCAAATGAGCAAAAGAAGGAACATTTATGCATGTTTTCCGTGAAATATAATTGAATTTTTAAGGGCATGGAAAATTAATGAGAACAATTCATGCTACTTAATTAGGCGTTCTTTATAGTGTAGTTTTTGCATGCAGCCGGATAGAATTTCGTTCGAAAGCCGGCACCCTGACGTAACTGAAATATTATAAAATTATGTTGCTGGCAGACTGGTTTTACAACCCTACTTAGTAAATTTTTTTCGAAACGAAAACGCATTTTTAAATTTGGGTCGAAATCTCATGTATTAGCCCACCTACTGTAAATGCAGGTGAGGGAGAGTAATTAATAGCCGACCACTCAGTCAACGGCAGCATTGACAGGCCTGTGGCCTGTGTTGCTTTGAAACACTACCCAACCATGGGTAATCAAGGTGTACGGCCGTAGGCGACATCGGCAGTTATGGCTGGTAAAAACAAGACCGGGATTACGTTACTGACAGCCGAGGGGGACTTTGCCTCACCGACACTTGGCAGAGCCAAGTTAAATGAAGGGTACATCAGGAGAGCTTTGCGCAGAAGTCGCTGGGCGCTGAAAATGGATAGCCAGGATAATTGCTTCACGTGCCCAGACCCAGGCAGCCGCTTTCGGTGAATACTTCCATTTTTGAGATTTAATTGTCAAATAAATGAGCGCTGGCGGTTGGAAGAGGAGAGGTATGAGTATCGCACCCAGTTTTTGTCATCCCACCCAGAGATACACTTAATCTCACCTGCACACTTCGAGGCACCGATGTCAGCACACCCTCAGTAAACACCAGATTGGTCTCAACATTTGCACGCTCCCTCACCCAGCCTTCGAATCGGGCGCGAAAAGGTACAAACACACATCGGCGTGCATTAATAATACTTCCTGTGGTCTTCTGTCAGCTAATTTTTCCCCGTCAGTTAGTCTACCATCATGGTTGTAGCAGCGCGTTTGCAACTAACAGAACCGCGTCCCCTCCTCTTCCACCTTCTGACCGAAATTCTCGCCAACCGCACGAGGCGGGTACAAGAGGAGGAGGAGGAGGAGGAGGAGGAGGAAGGCTTGTATGTGCGTACACTGGTTAAATTATTAATGTCTTGAGCGTTAGCTTCTTTCACGAGACCCTATTTTGACAACCGACTCCGTTTGAAGCGGTCCTGTGGGTCGTGGACACCACGAGGAGAGAAGTTGGTTATTCTTTTTGCATACATATGCACGCGCACGCACGCACAAACAATTGAAGAAGGACCTGCAGGACTGCGGTTTGCCCTAAAGGCCATCACGTACGGCGGTCGCGGTTCTGAGCGGCATCGCTGAACATCAAAAAGAAGATCTTTTGCTCTACTCCATTTATCAAAATTTACCCCCTACGAAGTCCGCATCGCGAGACCGTAGGTTCAATCGAAGAAAATTCTCAGTGTTTTTTCCTAAAATTCAACTCGCCTGGGCTTCCCTAACTGGTAAAATACGTGGAACTTTGATCTCCTGGGGCTGAAGCAAGCGTCACACCCAATCCTGTTTCTGGGTTACAGCAGTAACAGGCAGTTCACCTCCAAACGACCATTCGCTTTTAAAGTTATTGGAAAAAAGGGATTTTAGGGGAATGTCATAAGTCATCTGGACTGCTGGACAGAGCGTACTGAAAAGCGTTCGTACAAAACTACGGTTCTGTGCAGCTGATGGCGTATTCTACTAAAATAATAGAATTCAGAGTGAAAATGGAGAAAAGCCTCAGCTCTAATTGACCCTCCCTTAAAAGATGATCGGAGTGATTACTTAAATATATCGAAGGACTTTCGCGTTAAAATCGCCTGGGCACCGTAAATGTTTTACAAATGGAAGACTGTATTTTGTTCAGCTGCCTGACATATTTTTCACAAAATCCGTGTCAGCTGGGTTTTGTGGAAGCAAATACTTTGTTCTTCTATATTCTTATCAAATGCTAGTGTAACCGGACAGATAGCGAATGAAACAATCGGATCAGTCCACCATGTATGTCCTTGCTAGCGGACAAACTAATGAGCCTGATGATCTTTTAACTAGTACTCAAGGGATCCGGTTTCGAATTTTCCTTCATCTACATTTTTTTTCATTTTGTTTTCGTTTGTCAAGAAACATTAGGTTGCTAGTACAACCATCAGCTTTTGCAGCTTCGAGAAAGTCAGCAGAAGGGCTTAGCTTCGTAGAAAGTGCTGTGATAATGGCCTTCAGCGAGATGCTTTCCTCGTGACTAAAGTTGCGCGGTAAAACCGTACACCGACCGCATAATGACAGCCGTATTCCTAGCAGATGGCTTGTCCAGGGCGATGGGAGCAGGCGGTGCCTCTCCCAGGGTGACAGACCAATTCCCAAGCATAAGTCATTTTTAAAAGTTACCACAGTGGGCGCACCCAAGTACACCTCTCCAGCTGACATGCACGATTTGGGCTTTAGAGTGACCTTTATATAGCGGCTATAATTTCGAAGGCAGACTTCTCTGTCACCTGTACATAGCCTAACCGAGAGCCCATCCATAAGTCAGACAGTCGCAGGGTCGCCTAGTGCATGACGCAGGGCCCTAAG